GGCCATCCACGGCCTTTGCCATGCGCCCTGCCAGACACCCCTCTGCTAGAGAAACGCCAGCCCATGGAGTCTGGTGAACAGACTGATGAAAGGTCAAACGGCTGTTTTAACAATCTTGTCCTTCTCTAAGTGACAACAGTGCTACCACTGCATTCCGTACAGTGTGTCCTTATTCCCCCGAGTGCAGCTGTCCTATGCACTCCATTTTCCTTTCACATTACAGAAGACTCAGAAATTCTGAGGCCTAAACACTTTACAAGTGGAGTGTAAGATCTCAGAATCTCTTTAAGTGCTTCAATGAGGTTTTAAAATGAGCATGTTTAGTTTACCTTATCAAACTGATGCAGAAAAATGTAATGTGTACGGTCCTTAATTAGTCCAAATTAAAAATATAAAAGATAAAAAGTGTATATCCACAATGCAGCTTTGAAATTCCAATTTTCAATGCTATAATGGCTATCACAGGTACAAAACTACAGTGTTTTCTCTGCAGTTTTCTGCATCGAGGCATTTAAAGCACAGAAAAAGGAAAAAACAATCGCTGTAATCAGTTTTCATGAAAGCACAGTATTACACAACTTCTTACAGTGGCTTTCTTTCAAAACAGAAAACTGTACAAATTCAAAGGCGACCGCAGTATTGCACAACCCTGAGAAAATTGAAGACAGAGACCAATGTTACGAGCCACAGACTTTGATTTCTGTAAGAAAGGTCAGGTTCTCCTTTCTCCTGACACTACTACAAAGCATATTTTTGTTTTAATATGTTTTTCTATACAGTTTGCTTTTTCTGACATTGAAAAACCAGAGATTGTACAGACATAGTTTTCATAAGATATCAATATCATTAAGAGAAACTCAAGTGTTCCAGGGTGATTGATATTATCCTATTTTGGAGGTAAAAAGCACAGACTATTGACTGAATAAGCAAGCCTGACTCCCAAGTGTTGACTTCCTTTTTTTTTTTAAACTACTAGGAAGTGTGAAACAAAGTAGTAAAATAGCCATTTAAACAAAATTTTAAAATTTGAAATTGAAAGTGTACATCAATTCTCTTTTATTGCTAAAACTGAGATGTGTATAATGAATTTAAATAACACTACAAAAATGGAACTGATAATTGATGGTTACTACAGCCCATTACTGTCATAAATAAAAAGTGGCTACCTCAAACAGTCACTTTTATCGAAGTATCCAAAAAGTAGAATGTTCCTACAACATATAAGACATTCAAAGACAAAGTGAATCTGCTTTACGAGTAGAAGATGCCCAAGAAAAGCTTAAAAACATTCTGCATTTACCTCTGATTTTTATTGCAAGGGTTAGGGTTACACGGATCCTTGGAAATACACGATCCAAATTCAAACTGATTGTCCTGGAGCCCAACACAACGAGCTATACATGCACTTGGATACGTGCGTCCATTCTGACCACATACTGGTACAAACTGATCGACACAGTTACATGGTAAACCTGTAAAAGCAACACAGAAAACAGGAATTTGGTGCACACTTATTTTCTATGACGGGAGATACACAAGCAAAGATGTGCCACATGTTCAGCTACTCACCCTCTCCTGGAATTCAGGAGTGCTGTAGCATAGATGCACTTAGAAGTCGTAGGAAAGTTAGTTTGTGCCCTGCCTCCTCGGCTGATTCTACTCAGCCTTCTCCATTTTTCCCTCAAATTCCTTATCTCTTGTCCCCAGTAGCATGACACTGTCTCTACCTATTTTGACATATTACCTGAAGTTTTATATTTCAGTACTAATTTTTTTTTTTAAAGGCATGTGTTTTTTCTGAAGTACATGTTGCACATGAGAAAATTGAGAACATTTATTAATAACAAATTATCAGGTATTGCCCGTTAACACTGTAGAAAGAATTTAGAAGCTACTTCTCACCCTAAGAACATTAAGCTTTCAGCTTCCATAGTTTGGAAAGTTACCTGTGAACTTCCGACGCTCATCTTCTGAACTGTGCTCAGTTAGGCACTGACGCGTAGAACATATCAGGTTCCCAGCAAAACACGAACAGACATTACAATCTATATTAAAGGACATTCCATGACCTTAAAATAAAATAAATTAAGTAAATTCATGCAAGGAATCCAAACACACCAGAAGACGATATACACTCGTACACACGTATTACATAGATAGTACATTTTCATTATTAATTGTTCCTGTAATTTCCCTTATTCAGTTTATTCTCCCACTGAAATTTCTATCAATTCTTAAATTTTAAATTTTGCTTTATTAATTTAAAGAAAAAGTCTGTTCAGATGTGGTTTTGATTATTAGTTAAACAATGAAGCAAACACTTTATCCTAAGTTAAGTTTTGGGGTTTTTCTTAAGAACAATTTAAAGCTGCAAAACGAAGTAAACTCAGAAAACACAGGAAATGCTAGATAAATTCTGGGTAGCAAGCTCCTTATTTTTTTAAAGGGAAAGCTCTTCTAAAGATACATTCTTCTAAATTAATTTTATGTAGAATAGAATCACAGAATGGTTTGGGTTGGAAGGGACCTTGAAGCCCATCCAGTTCCACCCCCCCTGCCATGGGCAGGGACACCTTCCACTAGACCAGGTTGCTCAAAGCCTCATCCAGCCTGGCCTTGAACACTTCCAGGGATGGGGCATCCACAGCTTCTCTGGGCAACCTGTGCCAGTGCCTCAACACCCTCTCCGGGAAGAACTTCTTCCTGATATCCAATCTAAACCTCCCCACTTTCAATTTAAACCCGTTACCCCTTGTCCTATCACTACAGGCCTGTGTAAAAATCCCCCCCCAGCTCCCTTGTAGCCCCTCCAGGCACTGGAAGGTGCTATAAGGTCTCCCCGGAGCCTTCTCTTCTCCAGGCTGAACAAGCCCAACTCTCCCAGCCTGTCCCCATAGCAGAGGGGCTCCAGCCCTCGGAGCATCTTCATGGCCTCCTCTGGACTCGCTCCAACCAGTCTATATCCTTGTGATGTTGGGGGCTCCACAGCTGGACGCAGCACTCCCGGTGCAGAGCAGAGGGGGAGAATCCCCTCCCTCGACCTGCTGGCCACACTTCTCTGGATACAGCCCAGGATACGGTTGGCTTTCTGGGCTGCCAGCGCACACGGCCGGCTCATGTCCAGCTTTTCATCCACCAGTACCCCCAAGTCCTTCTCAGGGCTAAGTGTGACTGCTAAACTTTCAGGCATAGTCTCATACATAACACAAAACTCCTCTGTAGTGCTCATTCCTTTCCTTTACATGTACTTTTTGTCAAGTGATAAGAAGTGCCAATGTTTCATTCCAGTCTTAATTCTTTTGCACCATCCATTATAGCCATAATTTCAGCCTCAACAAGCAATACAAGTTACAACGCAGCTTTGTGCAAAACAGGCAACATGAAAGATCATAGCAGTTGAAAACAGAGACACAGATTTAGACCCACAGAAATAGAGGCCTGTGCTGACCCACTGGCTTTCAGAAAGGAGTCCTTAATAATGCCACTGACACCATCACAGCTGCTTTTTAAGGATGTAGCGATCTGCCTGATTTTTGCATTCTATAAGTCAGTAATTTTTTCACACCTGAGTCTCAAGAATCAAACTGCAAACTTAGGGCATTTGCACTGTGCTGTATGTGCTAAAAACCCACCCTGCACTGTGCCGTATGTGTTATGTAAAATCAATTCATGCTGGTGACCGCTGACTGACCCATAACCAAATCGGATGTTAAAGACCATCAACAGATACGCAGCTCGTCAGGAAAACAGGAGCAGCTGTGCCTTACAAAATAAGGCAATCCTCTCTGATCTCTTTGCAAAGGGTTGAGATCAAGGTTTAGAATTTTGGAAAAATATTACAGGGGCCAGAGGAAAATCCTCAGCATTTGAGCAATTCGGAAGAGGTACTCCTAGACAGAACAAATTTGGAATGTAGCAATTTTTATCTTTTATTATATAATACCTAGAGTCACAATGCCCACTCACACTTCAAGAGCAATTATGGCAAAAGAGAGGAAGCTGTCTGGTTTTGTGGTGGTTTATTGTTGGGTTCTTTTTAATGAGCAGCACTTACTGAACACCTACCAGCTACACGTGTTGTTGCTACAGTTACCACAACACGCCATGGCTGTTCACTGTGCAAAACACACATACAGCTTCCAACATTTTTGTAATTATCTTCACCAATAATCTCAAATAGCGCAAGTTTCTTTGGACAGAACCGTCCATAGATGGCTTCTGTCACCATTTAGATAACACATTTGCTGATGACTGTATTTTAAAAGCATCTATTTCACCAGATGCTTTCTATAACTGCCCATCAAATACACTGTTAAGGTCAAGATGTTTTCAGTGCTCTGCTTACATGAACAAATAGTACCAATTTGGCAATAAAAATTACTTTCAAGTATGTTTGGCTGACTTCTATCCTCTATGGATGAACAAAAAACCCACCCATTGGAAGCTGGAAATGCATGGAGCGTTACAGCTAGACTCTCCTGGATTATGAAAATAATTGTACAGTTGATTATTTAGCTCTGCTTGATATCTTTTTAGAGAAAGAAATATCCCAACCACCTATTCTTTCCTGATTTCAGGGTTTGGTTCACAATCATCAGAAAATTGTGTTTGTGACAAATGTAACTCCAGCAAGTGTCTTGCTTCTTAAGATTTACTTAATGTGAAAAATAACTCTTTCTTATTACATGGTAAAGAAGTGACTGAGTTATTTTGGGCTTAAAAGGTATCTTTGACTTGCTTTAGTTACGCGTGGACTTCAGCCTGGCAGGCTTTTAAAAGGGCTGATTTACAGACAGTAAACAATGCCCAGTACTGGAATATGTAACTGCTCGTTAGCAGCAAATCTCCTGCCAGCTGACTGCTTCAAAGACATCAGCTTCAGACACACCTCAGCACAGGCTCCAAGACATCTGCAAGATTTTCCCTATCTTCGTAGCAGCTTTTTCTTTTGTTTACTTTTTCCAAAGAGCACCCTGCGGTTTGCATGACAAAAATACACGTTTAAAGTTCTCAAGCAATGAAGACATCTGAAAATAAATCAGTATGATCTTTTCAGAAGCATCACTTGTCACGTGCCTTTCAACTACTTTTGACTGTCAGATTAGGCAGAACCCAATTAACACTTGTTACCCATGCCAATTTAACCTCTGGACAGCAACAGTGAAGTTACTTTAGAAAATTAATGATTTAAACCTAAATCATGAACGAGATAGTTAGCACTCTTTTATCATTAAAATGAAAAGCTGTTCATCTTAGTGCTACCTGGCAGACAGAAGTCAGCAGGAGGTCTAGACCCACCAGGCTTGAGGAAGACTTTAAAGAACCACAGTGTTCAACATTCCTTTGTTATCCTAATGTATCTGCTTACACATTCATTTTTAAGCATGCCAGCCTCATTAATATGTTAAATTTTAATTTAATATCAATTATAAAATTATTTTTTTTCCCCTGAAAGGCATAAGCTGCCTTGCGATACTTTACTGCAGGCTATGAAGGTTTCAAAGAAATCCAAGGGCAGGGGACAGTCTACATCAGGTATGTGTTATTTCATCAGAACAATCTTAAAAACTCGTTTTTAAACCACTGTCCTTGGTGTGAAAGCTACCGACATCACACAATAAAAGAAACTCCCTCTCCAGAACGCCACGTGAACTAAAACAGCACCAATGCCTAAAGGGGTATCAGATTTCCTACGTGGTTCCAAGGGAAGAGAATTTTGGGAGCGTGCAAAACTTGCTACGGGACATTTAGTGGAAGGATCAAAGATGAGGAAAAGAAGGAATGAAGATGGATTAAACAGGGAGATGTGTGGGAAAGCAGAGGGAAAAGGGAAAAAAGGGAACGGCTGAGCGCAGAGAGGTGGTTGGTCAGCACACTTCTCCACACACCTGACCCACACTCAGAAGAACCTCTCAGCAGGTAAGTCAACCACAACAACAAAAGCAAAAGAGTGTCTTGCAGCCCTGCTCCTTGCAAGGGAAGTTAGAAGTCTGAGCTGAGTACCTCTTCCACGGGCGGTGTGTCCGAGAACCTGCCTCAGAAGCAGCTCTTGGACAGACAAAGGCTCACTGCAAGAGTCATTCATTCACCAAAACCAGCCCAAACGAACTCAGGTGTGAAATACGTGCCAGTATAAGCAAACTTGCTTATACATACACCTCTTGCTCTTACAGAACCTCTTGCTTTAAACTTCCCCAGGGGTCAGATACCAACGTAGGCGGCTAAACATAGACTTTTTTGAAAGAGGGTTCTGTGGGTAATAAAGATAGGGAAACTTCATTGTGTGAAACACAAATGTGGTAAAAATATAAAAGTTTGCATCAGTGGATGCACCCAAATACAGCACTTTGGGGGAACAATCACACTGTTTTTGCAAGTCACAAAACAAATCTTTTAGGATTATCTGAAGGAGTCACGTGGACAACAGAAAACCAGGTTGACACACTTCAATTCCCAACAGACATTTAACAGCTCTTTAACATAGGCACTCACACGGGATAAACTGTGAAAGAGAGTAAGTGGGCAATGAAGAGAGGTCACTAGAGGACTCTTGGTGACCTAGGCAGTGGCTGTCCTGTTCAAAACACTTGTATGTGATCCAAAAAACAAATGGATGACAAAGTCTAGCCATAACATTAAGGCACAAAGGACCAAATAATGAAAGAAAAATCTCACCACGCTGAGCAACTAGGAAAGGATATAGCAGAGGAAATTCAATGTACTGAACATAAAGTGATTCTCTAGAATTCGTACAATGAGCTGTGAGCTGACCATTCCCACCAGTTCCTAAACTGGACCACGGAGTTGCAATAGACAGCTCTGTGAAAGCATGATCTCAGTAGAATTAGTAGCGAAAAGAAGATAATGTTCAGAAAGGAACATCATTTTGCTATTACGTACACTTAATCAGGTCCTTGCCTTGTGATTGGGGCATGAAGTTCCAGTTCCCACTTCAAAACCAAATTTAAGAACCAGAAAAAGCTACACAGCAGGGTAATAAATATGATCAAAAGTGCACAACTGTTTTCATGTCAGGAAGAAGAGGAACTGGCTTGGAGAAGAACCCAGAAAGCTGAGGAGAATACGACAGAGGTCTGAAAGAGGAGGGAAACAGGTAACAGTCACTCATCAGCTTTTTCAGTACAAGAACTAAGATGAATCTCATGAGCTAAGAGGAACTAGATGAAACAATCATGGCTCAAATTAAAAAAATCCCTTGCAAAACCCACAAAAAAAAAAAAGAGTAAGGACAGGTTTTAGGCACACATATCTCAACGTGTGAAACTTCTTATCAAGAGCTATAACCTCTGGCAAAAGTTTCTGACTTTTTTAAAAACACGTATTTAAAATCCATGTGAGAAAAAAAAAATCCCCACAACCCAAAATAAAACAGAAAACTTCAAAACCCTTTGCAGCTAATAAAGAAACCGCCCCCTGCTCAGGGGGTCAGCGGTTTCGTTGGTTGCAACAGGCATAGTTCGGTATTGATTTAAATAATGGAACCCTCCAGCATAAGCAAAAATTCAGCAAGTATTACATGTAGGGACACAAACATTAACTTCCCTATTTTCTGATAAACTCTGCATTCTGATACTCTGGGCCATCATATGTACCTCAGAAGTCGTTACTTAAGGAGCAGGTGCTGTATAAAGATACAATTACTGTTTTAATACTTACTTTTTCTTTGTCCTCCAACAATACATGATTTTTGGAGGTCTACACAACGCATTTCCATGCAGTTTTCTAGCAGTCCGCTGTGTCCACACGTACAAATCTTGTAACAACCAACATCACCAGTGGAGGATGGAACCTGAATAAGCGTACCTTGACGGACAATAAAATCTGAGGCTTCTCCCAGTTTGCAGCCTATGTACAAGGAGAAATTTTAGCTCATATTTAGTAAAAGCTTTGGCAAGTGCCACTGCCAAAAATAACTACTACTCTTCAACCTGTGAAAAAGCTAAGGTGTTCCTAAAGCAGCCTTGCTCTCATCCTTTATAAATTCACTCATTTCATACAGGCAACAAGTAGCAGAAATAGAAGATACTTGATCGAGACAACATTCTGAAGTACCTGTAGAAATCTCACTTCAGAAAAAAAGACTGGTATTTCCAACAATTCTCAAGTAATTTCATTTTTCCACAGTTCTGCAGTAGTATGAAGCCTATGTGATATGACAAACACCACACTCGCTTCACTCTCTCCAATACAGAATCTGAATTCAAGGGTCTCACAAGCAAAGTCCAGTCACATCCCCTCTCTCACGTATTTTATTGTCTCCCTTCCCTACTTACAGCTCTTATGAGAACACTGACATACACTCTTAGGTACACGTGAAGAGAGAAGGGGAGAAAGCTTCTTCTCTACAAGAAGCTAGGAGGAGACACATCCAGGACAGCTGACCCAAACCAACCAAAGCAATATTTCATGCCATAAGGTGTCATGCTTGATACGGAAGCTGGGGAGAACTGGCAGGTGGGCTCGCTGCTCGGGGACTGGCTAGGTGTCGGTCAGTGGGTGGTGAGAGGTTGTATAATTTTTTTTTTCCTTTGCATTACGTATTATTAATAGTAGCATTTTCATTACATATTATTGTCATTATTATTGTTATTGTTAGTAGTGGTAGTACCATTATTTTCTTTCATTTATTTTCAATTATTAACCTGTCCTTAACTCATGAGTCTTCTTATCTTCTTCCTCCAATTCTCTCCCCATCCCACTGGGGGAGAGGGGGGAAATCAGTGAGCAGCTATGTGGCAGGGTTAAACCACAACAGCAATAAATACCCCAAAACTTTCAACCAATAAGAAGACTGAATTCAAACGTAAAAGCCACCTTCCAACCTTTAGAGGAAGCAAACTGTCTCTTCAAAGGCTCGGGGTGAGCTTGTTGTCAGATCACCTTGAATGCCTTTTGCAGCAAGCGAAGACAACACAACCTCTATAGTAATAATGCTCAGCTTTTCAGAAAAAAACCCAAACAAAAATATTTTGTAAGGGTTATAGAAACACAACCAAAAGATGTCGCCAGGCTCACAAAAAGAATCTATCCTCCTCTTGTTGATCTGACTCTTGTCAGAGCAGAAATGCAGTCAGCTGTGTACTACCGCGTCTCCAGACATCATCTTTAATGAGAAGCGGTAGGGTAGGTCTCATGGGAGGACAAGGACAGCGTTAAGATCCATGTTTTTGTTGTTTTCCAAAGTCACTGTCATTTTCCTCCACAGTACAAGTCTACCTACAGACTTGGGAGAGACACAGAGCTAGTCTGCCTCGCGGTTCCGACTTTTTCTCCAGTCAACGAACTCACAGTGTCGTCAGCTATTACAGATGAAGCGCAGAGATGCTGCATCAGTGCTGCAGGCTCAAGTAGTACAGGAAACAAAGGAGATTCAAATAAATTATATGCCATGCCACTTCCTTCCCAAGCCCTAAACCTGGGCACTCTGAATCCAGTGAAGCAGCACCAGTGAAGCTTTTAAGAACAAGTCTGGGTATCAGTTTACTCAGAGTGAAACGAGTTACCCATGAGCTGCTGGAAAGATTTTGAGAAGCTGACCTGGCCTATGAAGATTTGGCACAATGCCATGTAAGATACCATCCTGAACTTTCATGTAACACCAGAATTGCTGCCAAGGCAAATGTACATCCCGTGTACATGCATTTGATCCGATTCTCAGAGCTCTCAAGAAGTCCTCTCATGACCGACAGTCTGATTTTTCATTAATTTCAAGGCAAGACATAATCTCCATTTATTTCACCAGTAAGGAAAATAATGTGGATAAGGTTAATAAATAGGGCAACCCACATCACGTTGTCTGCAGAAGCAGTGAGCTACACTATTATTTGCAGTATTGCACGTTTGTGATTTTAAATAGCAGGCAAGCTGCTTAGAGGCCATGTATGGGTATTTATTTCTTCTGAAGCAAAGTAAGTAATATATCTTCAAGTAAGATGTTATGTTTCAGCAGACAATAAAAATAGAAACATATGAAGAGCTGAAAAGAGCTAGAAGGTAGGTAAAAGCTTCTGAAAACACAAGATAATGTGATACAGTTCTTTTGGGATATCAGCAATTGACTTTAAAACTTTCAACCAAATTTGGGTAACAATTGTTTAGCAGCAAAATTCCAGTAAGCAGAAGTCCAAAAACCCTTACCTGGCACACACAAATACGGAAGACACAGTTCTCCAGGTTGACATCCTTTTCTATTTACTTCACATAACTGATTAGCTGCACAGGGATTCGGATTACATGGATGTGTAACATCTTCTACAATGTTACCTAAAGAACTTGGGCCTGAAAACAGAATATACAGCATCTATATTGACTTAAATGAGGTTTTTCTTTTCTTCAGTAAAGCATGGTATTTGTTACATTCAGTAAAATAAGATTTTTTAAAATTCTGTGAAATTTTTTAAACATTTTTTTCCCTGTATTTGTAGAAGCTCGGTATGACAATGTAGTTAACTTCTTTCAGAAGTTTAGTCCTCAGTCCTGGAAATAATGACTCAGATGATTCTTCACAAGCAAATTGTATTTCCTCTATCTTGTTTCCCCAGTAATTTTCTCTATACAACAAAAATACAAACTGACAGTGGCTGGCAGTGTAATCAAGGGAACTCCCAGAGCCAATGATTAATAAATTGCAGGATTAAAGCACACTCCATGTTTAACCAATTTGGTTTAATTGATAAACTTGTTTCCTGTTTTCCCTTTAACTCGCTAGTAATGTTTGTCTGTCACAAGATTAAGGGAAGGGAAGACAGCATGGAAAAGAAGCAGCTAAATGGAAAAAAACACCCAAAAGCTTCAATACGTTGCCTCTCTGGGAAAAATGTATTTGTTGCGGCGTGCTTTCTGTTGTAGCTCTGACTAGGCTCAATTTTACTACTTTCCAAGTTCCTGGGATTCTGAGAAAAAAATATCAAATTTTAATTTGAAAGATCTAAAATGGATAAATCCCATAAAGCTAAAAAGGTCTAAATCCTACAGAGGTAAATATGGAATATGAGGTAGTAGTAGGGTAGAGCAGGTTTGGAAAATAATGCAAAAATATGCATTTAAATGAAATCTAGAACTTAAACATGTTTCCAAGGAGGCACCAGAAACTTTGCTAAGTGGCTCAGCTCTGGCCTACAGTGGGAAAGCCCATTGCTGAGGTGGCCGTGCCTGGCACAGTGCTAGTCCCTGACATCTTCCCATACAGCCCCTGCAGCCCCCACCACAACCAAAACCCCCTTGCCACATACACCCAGTGCAAGAAGGAATAAATGTAGTGAGCTATGGCAATTTGAAAAAAACCCAATTTTCTCTAATCTGCTAAATAAAATGTTTCAAATTCAATATAATCTCCTTCAAAAGAAATAATTAAAATTATTAAAAACACTGACAGACATTCAAAGTTTCTGATTTTGTTGCACAGGTATGTTGCTACTTACTCAGGTATGTATCCAAAGGGATACAGTTCTCCAAGTCATCGGTTGGAGATAAGAGCTCACAAATGCTTTCAGCTGAGTGGCCTTCAGGGAATTTATTATGATCTCCACATTTCTTCAGTATTTCCACACAGTCTGATCTTCAGACAAATAAACAAAAAAGAACTTCATGAACTCTACTTGAAGAAAAAAGGTCTTGTATGAGAAAGGTTTCATTCCACATTCTTCCCTTCCTCTTCTGCCTCACAACACAGTGTATAGATATTAATGTTACATTTCACATATAGGGAGAGGAAAAAATGTAGAGAATCATAGAATGAACAGAGTCACAGAATGGTTTGGGT